TGAAATCATTAGTCTGCAATCTTCAAAAGTGTGATCAGTGACTGGCACATTCAGGGCACTAAAACAAAATAAAGGAAAAAGAAAAATCTATTTCTTACATTCAAATTGCTTTTAGTTGACTGTTTTGCTTCTCTCTGATTGGCTTTAAAGCTAATATACAAAACAAATTATAATTTATTCTTGCTCTGCTGCAAGCAGGATAAAGCAATCCAAACCATTTTGTGAAACTGAAACTAAGCTGTGAAACTATTATTATGGCAGTGTCATGATCTTTTGAGATTTACAGTCTTGTAAATGCAGCCCAGTAGCTGTGGAGGATAAACCACCCACTTATTCTTGCCAAGCAAAGAAGGGAGCAATTTATTTCAGTTTTCCATAAATTGAACATACTATGTTCCAATGTAAGACAACCTTCTTCATGCTCCACATAAAAACAATTGGGGTGTTTTAGTATAGGAATTTGACACCCCTTAGTGAAAATCTAGAGCAATTTCTATATATGGAACCTGGGACTTGACTAAATTGTACTTTGTGGCTAGCATATATGTGGAATTGCTGGATATAAAATAAAAGTTCTCAAATATTTTCTTCATGACTGATTACATACGTTGCCATGGTTTGTCGGACTCTGTTGGCAAAAAGAATGGGATCGTTCTTTTCTTCCTCAGTAGGAACATGAACAGGCAGAAACTGAAATAGATGAGTTATCCCATCAATTCAATAGTCACCACTTCATTAACAAGATGAACAGTTTCTTGTTATTTGGAAAAACAGGAGAAAAATATTAGTCATGCAACGAAGGAACTGGACACTAGAGGTCTCAACCGCCTTAGAAACCACTTTGGCTCTTCTGCCCTAGCCACACAAATGAGATGTAGTCCAAAACTACCTCCTAAAGATTGGTAGAAGCTGCTTTAATATAAAAAAACAAACCCTCAAAGAAGTAAAGTAAAATAAATGCATACATAGAAAATTAAATTCTATGTTGGTAAGAGTGTCAGTCTGAAATACTGTACGTTCCTTTTCTAGGATTCTTTACAAGTGCTGTTATATACTGGAATAGTGTATGAAAGATCTAGAATGTTTTAAAATATACACTGCTCTACCACCTCGTACCTGTTAATTGTATCTGTAGGCATATGACTGCTAAGTTTCTTGTAAGTTTTTTTTCCATGATAAAAATGTTAAGGAATCTGAGTTCTGAATTGTAAGTAGAGCACTAACTGCATACAAATACTGCAAGATTTTGAAACTCTAAACAGAGAGTAAAAAATTCCAATAAAAAACTCCCTCTCCTCCCAAACCTAAACAACACCCTGCATGTCTATATTGCAACACATTTACTATTGAGTATTGAACTGATCTTAGTATGTCAGAAGTTGAAGTAGCATTACACTAAAAGTCTACTAAATGATTAATTATTATCTAACATGGCATGAATCAGCTTTTGTTTGTTTGCAAGTAGTGGGTGTGGAGGAGTACTCTGCTCTTCTTCAGTCTACAGGGTTTACTTGCAGCTGTGTTTTCATGCCCCTTCTCAATTATGGTTATAATTTATTTCAGTTCTGCTACTTCCCACCCCACAGTTTCACCCTTAAATCCCAGAACAGGGCAATTCTAGAATGAGTTGTTCATTGGAAGCCACAGTTGCTAATTATGTGTCAATATATTTCTTCAGGAATGTTGCAGTTGCTGCTGATGAAGTAATATAGTGGTAACTGTCCCATATAAATGCAGTCCATCCTGAAAAAGTCTTTTATGCTTTTTCTCTTCATGATTTAAAACAGTATGTTTATGCAATTGCTTCTGTCAAATAGCCATAACAATTTTTTGCTTAGAGCTAGAAGGTTTCTTCTTTGTAAGGACAGACAGGAGGGGTCCAGCTGTTCAAGTGAAGGTTTGATACTTCACTCCTTCTATAAACAGTTGCTGTTTTCTGTTCAAGTCTGACATATGTCCTTGCTTATTACAACTCCCCTTCAGAAGTCATGTAACTCTTAAATTGAGTTTAGGCACGTGTATTGGGTGAGATAAAGTAATAACTCTGAGTTTATATCTGCAAACACAGGTCAGTGTCTTGAAAGTGGTCATTATATCATTTGAGGCTGGAGTCTTGCTCAGACAGCAACCTACATTTCTGGTAGGTTAAACAACACCTCTGTCCCCTTCAAAAAAACCATCTCCGATTATTCATAAAACCAATTTGCCAGAAACCACAGTTGGGCATGCAGAGTTTGGTCTCATGGCCTCCTGAGGTGGCATGCGTGATCTCTCACACACAGAGCTGCTTATCTGGTGAAGACTAATAAATACCTTCCTTGACAAATTGCAGTCCTATAAGAAAAAATTAATCACAGCTCTTTCAGTAGACAAAATAATTCTCACTTTTGACCTTATGTCTCTTTATAGAATTTGCCAAATGTCCTATCTTTTGCAGCCCTAAAACTCACTTCCAGGTTCACTGCTTCACTGGTGAGGCCTCACCTTGAGTCTTCTGTGCGTTTCTGGGCTGCTCACTTCAAGAAAGATATTGAGGTGCTGGAGCAGTTCCAGAGGAGAGCAACAAGGCTGGTGAAGGGACTAGAGGAAAAATCTTACGAGGAGAGGCTCAGGGAGCTGGGGTTGTTTAGCCTGGAGAAAAGGAGACTCATGGGGGACCTTATCACTCCCTACAACTACCTGAAGGGAGGTTCTAGTCAGGAAGGGGTTGGGCTCTTCTCCCAGGCAACTAGTGACAGGATGAGAGGGCATGGCCTGAAGCTGCATCAGGGGAGGTTTAGGTTGGATATCAGGAAGGACTTCCTCATGGAAAGGGTGATTAAATATTGGAATGGACTGCCCAGGGAAGTGGTGGAATCATCATCCATGGAGGTGTTTAAGGAAAGACTTGATGTGCCACTTACTGCCATGGTCTAGCTGATGTGGTAGTTAGGTCATAGGCTGGACTTGATAATCTCACAGGTCTTTTCCAGCCTCAATAATTCTGTGTTTCTGTGATCTTCAATGCGCAGTTTGTTAGAACATAGTAGTCATGCATGCACATACTCCCTTGGATGACAGGAGTACAGCACTGGTCTTGCACAGCAGGTAGAGGTAGTGCAAGTCTGATAGGAGCTGGGGGGCTACTTGCTCACAGCATGGGACATCAGCAGAAATACCTATTCCTAAAAGGGGGTAGTCTCATTCCCTCCTTCCCCAGGCAAACCTGCCCCTTCTCCTTTTTAAAAATGGAAGGACTTTTTTTGTGTTGATGCTAAGAAATCATTTCTGCTTGGGGGGACAGGCTGCTGTGAAAGTTTTGACTTTGGGAACATGAAATCTATTTTCTAACTGGCAAGTTGGGAATTCTGTTCTGAAGCAAAGGAAAGTAAAGCTTCTCCTGGAAGAACTGTGTTAGGTATTTCTTGCTGCCACATATATAAAGTACCTAGATACGGTCTTGTGTACAAAATCATTAGCAGAATTAGCTCTTTAGTACACTTTCTATAAACACCTGCCTACTGCATGTCCTATACAGTAACAAGGTGCTCCCTTAATTAATTTCATTGTTTCACAACAAAGACTAGATTACTAATTGTTAGTAGTAGCAGCACTGCTTGTACTCACAGAGCTTTGTACAACTCTGCTGAATTCTTTGTTTTGCAAACAAAGAGCAAAACCTGCCTTGAATTTCTCCCATTCCTCAGATCCCTAAAACAACTTTGTCCACACTGATGATTTTTTGTGGTCTGGTAAGGAATGTGAAGTACAACACTTAAACAAACTGATCATACCTCAGTTATCTGACTCCTCACCACTGTGTTTTGAAAGTTGGCTCTTAGACTAAGTGTACTAATATTATGAAATGTCTATGTTGTTTGAGTTGTTATTCATCTGTCTTTGTGCTGTGCATCTGATTTTCATGATCAAGGGAACAGATTCATTATAAAAGGCTCAGTTTTCTCCAAAGTGCAAGTACTAGAGTCCTTAATTAAGCTCTTAGTTGCAGAAAGCTTTTAGAGTTCAGTCTGGGAAGATGGTGAGGAAGACAAAGGTGGGAAACAAGGACCAAGGAAATAAGGTGGGAAAAAGAAGAATGTTACCTTTAACAGATATGTTATAATTCTTAGTTTTAACATCTGTAGAATGTGTGTGGTGATAGTTTGCAATGATTTCACAGTGCTTTAAAAATAAAGGCATTTCTGACAGCTTTCATTTAGGAACTCACAGGAATAAGTGATATGTAGACATGGAAAACAAATTTAAATGTAATATTCACTGTGATTCTGTTCTTGCTTTTGAGACATTTGTTTATTAACAATGACTAATATTGTGAATAATGCATTACATTAAATAGTATATAATATTTCTAATTCTTACCTCAACTTCGACTCTTGTGAAGAGCTGACACAGCGTCATTACACACAGCTCTTTTCTGCAGGGAAAGAATTCATTTTACTTATGTAGCAACAAACTATTTGCACATCAGAAAACCACAGCAAATATTGGGCAAGTTTTTTAAGTACCTTGCAGTGGTTTTCTACATTTTTTCTACATGGCTTTTGCATACACCTGATGCTTGCCCATTGGGCAGGCAACTTGTCTGTTACGCATATTAACAATACTATGCAGTTCTTTGGTAAACAAAATGTATATATGTTACTTTAAAGAGGTGAATACATACTGGATTTTAAAGCTTTAGGAGCTTTGATTCCAAGAAGTAGCTTAAGATTATCTTTTATTGTCTCATCTGCAAAATGGGAAACAGAGATGGACATTTTCATCTAGGTCAGCTTTCATGAGGTCTATTCTCTAGGTGTGCACAAGCTAGGATTTACTAATGATAGCTTAAGAGGCACTTATGATTTCTCTACTAATTCAGATGTATTTCAAAATCAGTTGCCTTAAAAATTTTAGTCTCTTAATAACTCAGTACTACTGTACTTAGATACCCTACTTATGCCACATGAAAATGTGGTACATGAATTCTGAAAATCCACATTTTAATGAATGTTTATAAGGTGAAATGTATTTTCCAGACATATTTTCAGTGCAGCTGTAAAGGTTTTCAAATAATTTAATGAAATATTTTAGCATAAGAGAAGGCCACCTGTGTTAAGAAATAAACACAGAACCATTGCCTAATTTGTTTCTGGAGATATTTTTCATTATAATATCAGATATAAATATATCCTCTTCAGTGGGATCTCAAAACAATTGCTTTTGTTGAGTCAGGCAAAAGTAAAAACCTAAAGAAGATTCCTAGATGTTTAAATGGGGAAAGATGGGGAAAATTAATACTTGTTTTACCAACCTTCTTCATTTATTCTCATATAACTTCAAATGAGATTAAGGAATGAATAAACAGAAGAGATAAAATAATGTTTATTTTTTCTTGTTTGTATACCATGTAGGAAACTAGATATATCTATGGGTTTTGATGACTATGATTCCCCCCCCCCAAAAAAAATATATTTTCAAATCTTTCTTTTGCTCTAGTGTAATGTGCAAAACATAGAAGAACATCAAATAAATTGGTGGCAGAGCTGGAAGGAATGTTTCCTCATTTGCAAATACTTTATCTACCCATTCAGATATGAGATCTACTGTATGACAACATTATCCCCAAGTATTTCCCCCTCATAAAAACAGATCTAGATGAACATGTGTCCTGGCTTAGTTTGGCAGACAGTTCAGTGATGGGAGAGAAAATTCTATATGCAATTTTCAGTAGGATTAACAAACTTACAGTGAATAGCCCTGCCATGTCCAGGTCACAGTGTCCTAAGGAAAAAAAATAGAACACAGAAATGTATGACAAAACCAGATTAAATTTAGACATCAGATAAGTTACAGTATAAAACAGGTACAAGTTTAGTAAAAGCAGGTGATGGTTTCATAGTCCTGTGGGGAAAAATAAATAAAGGTGTCAAGGCAGCTAGGACTCTTTGCCTTAAAAATTTGGAAATAAGCATGGCAGACTTTTGGTAATATCAACAATTGGGAATAAATTTTATGTAGCTACTTAGGTATTTTAAAGAATGTATTTATATTCAAACAACGTAAATTGAAAAAAGTAACCTAGTAAGACTTTTTCAGAGGATTTCACTAGTCCCTTTAGAAAAGCACCCTCATAAATATGTTAAATTTAGTTTTAAGGACACTTCTGCATAGATAATGTCATACTTTTTCTTTGCTATTATTGCTTTGTTTTTTTTTCCTTATTCTATGTTTATTACTTTATATATAGTTTTTACAATGTATACTGCAGATCCTTAAATCCTCTCAGTGAAATGCAATACCAATCCCCTTTAGTGGTAAAAACATTTTACAAAAGAAATTTTGTAAATAACAACAATAACAATCACTTATTTTTCATCTTAAAAAACATTAGGAATGAAAAGTTTGGTGTTTTCTGCATTTGTTGGGTGATCAGGTAAGACAAAAAGGTGCCAAGTTGCTAGACTCATGTCCCAGCATTACCCCTGTCAGTGACATGCAGAGCCATACAATTCTACCCCTACACTTGGCAGAAAGTGTAAACATTGACTCAGCAAAACAAGTTGCATGAGAAGAATCCTCTGCAAAGCTGCCCTCCTGAGGTGCCTGAAGGAGGGGTGCTGGAGGAACTGTATGGCTCAGCTTGGCTTTTCAGGAACTTTGCAAGCCCCTTTGCAGTAAGCGTATTTTGGGCTTAAATGAGAACCGATGACTAGCAGGGAAGTTGTCTGCATTTTTAGACTTCAAACTACAGGCTCTGTGGCTTTGCAGGAAGTTTCTAAATTCTAAAAAAAACACTCTTTCTTACTTGAACTCTAGCTAAGAAACCCAGCAGTGTTTCACACTCAGAACAGCTGCTACATCATGGTGACACCTGGGAAGCCCAGCTGCTTCCAGTGCTAAAGCAAAGGACAACAGATTCTTCAGTGACAATGCAAAATATTTATTGTTGATGCCATTTAAGTCAGGATTTTGGCTTCTGTATTAGTTGTTAGTGATAGAAGAACATTCTGCTTACCAGCTTGTTGGGGTATCGCAGCAGCACAGGTTGTACAGGGACTCGTGGAATGAAGGCACCTGCAACCACAATTGAGCATCAATTATTAAGGCTCAACTTGATACAGCAGTTGGGAGTTTTAAATGATTCATGTAAGACATGGTACCCAGAAGGGGAAATTTTTAAAGAGAACAGGAAGTGTTCTTTGCATTGTGGTATTTTTGGTGGGTTTTTTTGGGGGGTGAAGGAAGTGGTGTTTTTTTTGTTGTTTTTTTTTTGTTGTTTTTTTTTGTTTAATCAGCAGCACAACTCGGAAGATGTTAGGACAGAAATGGGATGGTCTCCATTTCAAGAAGAAAGCTGTCTATGATTCCTGTACTATTTAAACTGAATTTCTGTGAATTATGTCCCCATTGAGTGACATTCATTACAAAGGACTAAACACTCACAAGGCTGTGAAGCATTTCCTGAACCTTCTCTGTTCTGATTATCTTCATAAGTGATATGGATCTGAACAGGAAGTAGTGGTTCTGTAACTTTACTACTCAAGTCATTGTAGAACAGTAAGAAAGGAGAGAACATGGCCTTCATTGAAGTGCAGCACAACAATCTAATGATCAGTGATGCTATCAAGTACCTTCCTGTGTTAAAAATAATTTATTGGCTTGCCTTGCTAAGGGCTACACGAAGCGATTTCACAACTTGGTTGCTAAGGCCTGCATGGCAAAGTTTACAGGAACAAGATGGCATGACAAAAAGAACATCCTAAGCAACATGTTTTGGTAGTTCATCTCACAACAGTCACAATCAAGTTTCTGAGTAAATAAATTAAAATGGTACCCAGAAAAAACCCCAACTAACAGTATACATCATAGGTACGTTGCATCCTACAGAATAAACAAAAATCAGAAAGCAAACTACCTAGTACAAAATAGTGAGTTTAGTGCCACTGAAACTTCAGTGATGTAAGACATTACTATACTGCTGTTATGGATGATGTACTTGCAGAAGTATAGGCCTTCCTAGACCTATCAAATCAGTATTTCACACATTATTTTCCAACAATGATGTGACAAAAACTCTCACCTTGTTTAAATGTGATCAGGCAAGATCGGTTTGTGCAGGTGCCCTCTGGGAAAATCAGTATCTTGGATTTAAAGAGAAAGAAATACATATATACACATACATTTCATAAAAATTATACTTCAGCATCAGTTACATAAAGGCAGACTTTTTATGCAAGCTCTGCAATATGTTACACCACATCACAGGAATATCACGACTGTTTCAAAAGGAAATGAACAAATAAGTGGAGGATGCTCATAGTAATAATAACATGATCCATCCTGATTTAGAAACAAGTGGTTTGTAAGAGAGGATTTCTAGGGAGAGTCCTTTTTAAGTTCAGAAATATGGTGCAAAAGGCTTTAAGTGTTTAATTTGAAATGTTTAGTGCTGGTAATGATACAAGAATTGTTCTTCTGCCAGCAGCTCCTAATGGAGTCTGCATCAGGAGTCTGAGCTGATGTGAAGTGCATGAGGTACTTGAGCATTTAGAGGCACAGATGCTACCAACATCAGTTGAGATGCCAGCTGTGATGAGCAGCTAACAGCTTGAGGGGTACCAGAAAAAGGCAGAGAGAGCATGTGCATCTGTGAAGCAGAGCTCTGAAGGAATTACACACATTACACAGACTCTGAATGACTCAGACACACCAAATACCCAGGCTGCTGAATTAGTGTCTGAAAGATACTAGATTAGATGCAGAGTGAGCTTCAATGTGACACACCAAATCCAGCCCCCTGTGAAGAACAATGTAGCTTTGTGTTTATCATATCACTATGGGATCATAAGCAGCATTCCAAAAAACCAAACAAACCCTCAGCATAAGAACTGGTCTGGATCAAGAGTGTTCAGGGTATGCTCCACAGTTCAAATGAACAGGTCAAGGCTAGATGAATTATGGCATCATTAGGTCATACCCAAGAGACACAAGCTGTTCTAAGGTCTGATAGAGTCAGCTGCACATACTGATTTTACAGATAGTCCTTGACTATCCATTCTGTAATCAAGAATTGTTCACTTGTGCTGTGGACACAAAAATGGGTATGTTTGTGCTTAAAATATGTCATAAGCCCCAGAAAACATATTAGTGACTGACCAAAGAGTAAATAATCATTCCCTCCTTCCCCTTTGTTTTTGGTACAGGGTTGGGAGAAGCAGTAGCCAGAACCTCATGCTACTAATAAGCATAAGTTCTGCCCAGGCTGGTGTGTTTTGGTTTTAGAAGGAGGGAATGGGAAATTCTGATATTCTTTATTTTCTATTGTGCTAAGAGAATGCAGCCCAGGCACTCCATGGAGAATATGACAGACCTCATCTTGTGGTCAAGGTTCTCAAAAATAAAGAGTAGGAGCCAGGTGTGGCCAGGGCACAGGGTTAGTAATCATGTAGTGACACCCCCAGTGTACTGCTGACTCAATCTTGCAGATTCCCATATTACTTGACTCATAGGTTATTTATGCCATAATACATATCTAGTGATTATCCTAAGTGCAATATTGGTGTAGAGCCAATTCCCCTTTCCTCTCTATGCTGTTTTCAGTAGAGATCAGCTGTAACAGAGCTTTGCTGGAATAACTTCATCTGTAACAGTTTACCAAGTCATAAGCATCAGTATTACACAGCATAGTATTACAAAAAAAAGCCTTCCTAGCTTTGACATGTGCATATTTAAAATCCTCCATGTAGCTGACAAGTTAAAAAAAAATAATAGAGGCTCTAAAAATATTTGAGTCAAATTAAAGTAGCCTAAACACTAACTAAAACATTTTTTGTTAGGTGATTGCTAAGTAAAAATGATGCATGAAGAGTCTAAATAATGTAATTTCAAAAAAGTGTCAAGTGTTAGTTAGTCTTCCATGCGTGAATGTTCTCTCTAGACACTATTCAGAGGAGTGCATTCAGGTCTAGCTGTCATAGAGATACCTACTACTGAAGTCTGTATTTTCACTTCTCTCTTAATTTTCCTCAAGAACCATTCACTGGAACAAAAGTGAAGGAAAAGTTAACTTTTCTCAGTCATTTAGGAGATATCTTGTGATATCTTTAGGAGATCTTGTGATTTTAGCTACTGAATCAGCCACTTGAGTTTTCGTTTTAAGTAAATTACCCTTAAGAAAACAAGTTGAGAACTAATTCAAAACACAAACTGTGAGTTTATGCACAAATCCAGACAGTGTATCTTTGGAGAAAAGTTATATATCACTGACTGTATTTACCCAGCAGCATGGCAGTGACACTATTCCTAGTATGTGAAGGCAACGTGAGGCCAGAGTCAGTGCACCAGGAGAAAGCAGAGAGGCAATGTCAGTAGGTTCACAACTGTTCCAGGTCCTTCTTCTTGCAAAGGATGCAGATTTCCATCCTAGCCTTCCGCCTGTCATAAAAGCAGCAGAGTTGCTGCCTCAACACTCTTCTGCCTCTGGAGCAAGGCGTGCCCCATTAGCTCTTCAGAATGGAAAGCCACCCAAGGCCTAGGAGCACAACAGCAGCTTGAGGCTGAGGAATGACCACTGCAAATAGTTATTGCAGAACTAATAACTATTGCTTGCACATTAAAATCTTTCCACAATTCAAATCAATCTAGAAGTCTTGGTTTTAGTGCATTATTAACTTAGAGAGCAAACTCAGCTGTTATCCACATGTGACACTGATGTTTTAAGCTTAAGTACTATTCATCCTGTAGCATGGGAAGCCTGGGTTTACCATCAAATAAATGCTCATCCTCTAACTGTTGTGAGCATAGCTTTGCAACCCAGCTTCTCACACAAGTTTGCTTGAGAATAGTGATTCACCAGTCGTCTGCTGCACAGCATGTTAAGACTTGAACAGGGAAAAGAGAAAGTCAAAAGCATCTGGATTTGGAATAGCAGGTGGTACTGGTTGCATTTTAACTGCCCCATTTGTCATGACAAAGCTCTTTCTTGGCATCAGCCCCTTGTCTTCCTTTCCTAAGCCATTCACATATACCCAGGAGCTAACTTAATCTTTGTAATTCAACAGAGCCCTATTCAGCTGGGCAGTGGTGACATGATGACACAGTGAATATGGAATGTGAACACATGACAGCAGAGCAGAAGGATATTTATTACCTGTGGCCACTGGCCTCTTGATAATGCCCGCTTAGTGATCTCGGCGACTGTGTTCTTTCGTGAATCAGGGTCTTGACGAGAAACTGCTACAGGCTGAAGGGAACTCAAAATTGCTGTGAAAGAGATAAAAAATGTTATTTGTCTTACACTCATGCTTATAAAACACATGGGTTCAAGGCTCTCTTGTAGCAAAAAACTTGTTATTCTCATACTAGGAGATAGATTCTCCACCAACAGCTTTGAGACTAAATAGATAAGAAGAGTATTTATTATTCTTGTCTTCATTCTGCAAAATGGGAAGTAAGACACAGAAAATAAATCTACTGCCAGCTGAGGAGCTTTACAGTAGATGTAAACATGCCAAATTCACCCAAACCCATTCTGCCAATATTGCTGTTATCTTTCACTGAGCATTTCTAAGGAAATGACTTGATCAGTTTTCTGCTCATGGGCCACACTCAGGCCTAACTCATGCAGAGTGCAATTAACAAGTAGTCTGTGCTACGTTGAAGATAGCCCTTTTCAATTACAAAGCATACACAACCTGTGTGTAAATTACAGAAAAAAAAATCCTCACTTCATCAGAAGTCTGCATCAGAATGTGTGGATCTACTGAGATGTGATGAGAAACTTGGGGGAAAATTATCTTCTGTGTCCCCCTCCTGTGCTTTTAAGAGAATGTCAATATGTTATATGTTAGTTTATTTCCTACAATGACACTTTTCTGTGTTGTTTACTGAGTTTAATTTTGGGTTAGTGTTGGCTTATTCTTTTAGGAGACCTATAGAGATGAGACATACAGCCAGCAGAAAGTCTACAGCTGATTCCAGTAATAATGTAAAAGGGGATTCTTTTTGTGCCAAAAGGAGGAGGAAATAACAGAAGCATGAGTAATCTGATCTTTTCCATTTTCTGCATTTTCTTTTTGAGTAAATTCTCTTTTATTTTTCCCAGTTCGACTCCCATTAAAAGTATCTGTAACAGTGCTTGCAAGTTTAAACATAGAAATAAGGTATTTTCCAGACTGTTGTAGTTTGGGTCTGTTTTGAAATAATCTTCACCAATGTCTTATACATTTGTGAAACACATTGCTAAAAGGCAGCAGTTGAACAGATTTCTCAAGCTACCTACTAGGAGAATTTTAAGAGAAAACTCCTGTGACTTCCATGTTATGAAATATGGTGTCAGTATAAAGCAAATTTAAAGTGCTACTACATTCCACGTCTGAAAAGAAATACCACACTCGTAGACATCTTGACCAATTCAGAAAGATAAGTTGTCCCAGTGATTTCACTGGAAATAATCCAGCAATATCTTTGGAACCTACAGGTTTTAAGAACTCTTCCCCCAGATCACTTCAGACTTTTGGCCTCATGAATTTTTACTTTTTTATTCCATAAATACTTACTGCCAAATACTGGAGTTGAGAGGTTCTCTGCTCTAGTCACTATCGATGGCATTCCAGTCAGCGCACAAATAATGGCATCAAAAAAGCTTGAATGAGGAGCTGCAACAAAGATTGGGGCTTCCAGTAGACTTGCCACTTTCCCTTTTACTTTAACTTGGAAACCCATTATGAAGAACACGGTATGAGTTAGGCAAGAGAGGGTTGTCTGGATCATCCTCCTTATAAACAGAAACACAAAAATATCATCCATCTTACAGTTAGTATGCCTTTTGCACTTTAAAACAAAACCCCATGAAAGATTTCCTAGTTCCCACCAACACGGAGGCCAGGCACAGGGTAGCAATACCACATCTCTACTGGTGTGTAGGGATGGAGAGAAAGAAGCAGAAGCAATGTTACAGCAATGAAGCATAAAACTACAGTGAGGGAAGTGTGGGTAATTTTGTCATAAATTAGCCATGTCAAAGCTAAATTTGTCATAAAAACCTATTTGTAAAGCTCTTGGTGCAAAATACACTAATCATGAAGTTGCTTCAAGTAAATGGGTAAAATTAAGATTTGACTGAGGACTCCTCTTTAATCAAAAGGATGAAAGCAGTGAGACAAAAAAAACCTTTAGACTCTGGCTTTGTGTTACTAAAAAAGAACCACCCCAAAGCCACACAGTTTTCACAAATATTGTTCACTTTTTACCTTCTCCAACCTTTCAGTGGCACTGATCCTCTCCTGGGGTGATGGAACGTTGCAATCAATGAACACAGCCATGCTAGCAGTAAAATGAACACAATGCATATGGCACGGAGGGGCAGCAAAATAATACCCTGAAGAACAGCCTGGAAAAAAAGAGGGGAAAAGTATTGAGAAATGGTATCAACAGGAATGACATTGATATCTGTGTAGTAACATTATATGGATTTAAAAATACTCACATTACTGCTATGTGATTTAGAAAGGCAAGCATGAATGATTCCAGTGTTCATGTGGGGAAATCAGTCATTCACAGCATTTAATTTTTGGGTTCCCATTTCAGGTATAACTGGAGCATCGGAGTATTTGAGTTTTGGGCTTGGATGATGTTAAATAGAGAGAGTAAACAGAGTTTGCTGGCCTTAGTTTACACTTAAGTTGGGCTGCAGCATACAACCAGCTCAGATGAGTCTGCCCAGCTGAGAGATGTTTCTGCTGCCTTCTGTAACTAGCTGCCTGTCCAGGAGCCAAGAGGGATTGTTAACATGACTAAGATGTACTCTTGCCCTTTCAAACTGACACATCCTATGTTGAGTCACACTACTGCTGCAAGTCATGCTGATTGCTACTGCGTGGAGTAGTGCACACTCAACACAACTTCCTTTCTTCTAGTTGGGACCTCCGCAAAATGGAATTTTCAGTAAAACTGAACCTATGGTTTAAGGCAAAGGTTCAGGCTTACAGTGCTGTTGAAGTTGCTGTAGCAGCTCTTGGCTCTTTGCCTTTAGAAGTGGTTTGCTCACTGCCTGCTGTAAACATGCAGCAGAACCCTTCTAATTATGAAGATTAACTTGTTGTCTTCTGTTTGAAGCATCTTAGATATCAACATCTGTGCTAGGTCCTCCTTGGAATTTTCAGATTAAATTGAGAAAGCTTAGCTCCCTTTCCTCCCTGCAATCAGGGAACTGTTACTGGCTTGCTTTATCTTGAAGCAGGAGAAACTCGAGAGTTTTGCTATGGTCACAGATAGCAAAGCTTGGTAGCAAAACCAATACAAAACAGATCCAAGCCTGTCCACTGCTTCTGAGGTTGTTCAGAAGTATGGCAGAAATTACTAAAGGAGAGTTATGCTAGTTTAGCTTATGCTTAGGAGTTTACTATTTTTTATGCTTTACAATCTCTTAAGAAAATCTTACACTGAACAACAGTGTTCCACTCTAAAAATCAGCCTTTCTGGTCAGCTCTTTAGCAATGGCTACTTACTGTACAGGAAAAACAAAGCTTTTATGAATAAAAAGTGTCACAAAATAAGTTTGCAATTTACATACTTGAACTATGATTATTACACAACACAGTGGATTTTAATTTACCTTCCATCCTCACACAGCCTCTTACTTTCCTCTTGCTAATATTCAGGACAGGCTCTAGCCTTGGCTCTAAACTCTGTCACACTGACAAGGATTAACACAATTTTGGGCCTTCAGGACTCAGTTCTGTGTTACGGCAGGCACAGAGACAACAGACCAACGTCACAGAGCATACACAGTGTAATTAAGGCAAGCATGAGAAGCAGGTACATGGTGTGGATGCTTAGGTTCTGTAAGCACTGCCATTTAATACATTTCCAGAAGAGATCTGAACATTCAAGTAGGATTATTTCCTTATTTTATATAGCAGTTGTATATAACTAGCTATGGAATTCTAAGTGTCACTTCATGGACAATAGGAAAATGACTGCTCTGGATCACATAAAGAGGCTTAGTAGCCCGATTTAAGATTTGCCCAGGGAGATCTATTGTTCCCACTTTTTTATGCCAGTTGTGGTGAATCTGAAAAAGTTAGGTAGCCAGTTAAACCAAGACTTCTTGTTTATCTCCCAGAATAAGAGGTGTATTTTTTCTCCATATGCATCTGTAGTCCCAGTTCAACATTTCAGCTGCATTCAGTTAGCCAGAATGGGGAGCATAAGCATAAATCAGTGTCTTTTGACTTAAAAGAACTTTTTCCTGATGAAAAAAAGCATATACATGCACTGACCTACAATAAAAAATAAAGGATTCAATAACAAAAGTAAAACAATCCCTTCATCAAAACTAATAAATTCATTAATCTATTTTAGGCAGATGTGCAGGTGGTACAGATTTGCTGATGCAAGCTATTGGCTTTCTAGGTCACTGTGTAATGAGGCAGAGTTGATTTCTGCTCCATCAGCTGCAGAATAGGGCAATAAAAGGACAGAAAAGAGAGAGGTCAAGTTAGGCTAGAAAAGAAAAAGTATAGGAGAAAACTATACAGAAGATAATACAGGTTCACAGTTTAGTAACTATCAAGCAGGATCAGAGCCACTCCAGCTTCTGTATACAGTGATCATGAAGACAGAATTATTCTGAGTCATGTAAAGAACCTTTTCCCACATTTGGAATCACCTGTGCATTTTCTATTTAAAATGTTTGCAACCACTGCACAGCCTGTCACTGCAGTTGCTGCAGACACCGGCAGGTCACACTTCCAAAGCTGACTCACCCTTGAGCAGTACATGGTGTTATACTGTCACTTATGTTAGAAACTGAGGAAGGGTAAAAGTAGGTAAATCAGAAGGCCACATAATTCAGTTTGAATTTTTGTTCAACTTCAGCTGCTGACAATTTATCTAGGAAGCAGCAGAAGAGCACTGGGGACCAGAATGAAGCCCAACTCCAACTGAACTCCTCTGACACCTGAAACTGATCAGATGGACTGTCTCCCAGAGTGGCACACATGTAGCAAGAGAGGGTCTTCCAGGAGTGCCCAGAGTATGTTCACAGCTCTGCCAGGCAATCTGGCTGCTTTGCTTCCAAGCACAGGGTTAAAACCAACACTTTCAGCATGCTGTTTGTGTCACTACATAGCTCAGCATTATATAAATGCACTGAGCATCTCTTCTGAATAACATGGAATCTAGTAATTTCTTCAGTATATTTGCTTTGCAGTTGCAGTTCAGAAGTTAGGAGGGCAAATGAGCAATCGGGATGAACAGAACTAAAACTGAAAGAAGAAAAAATCCAATGAATTGGAGCCAGCTTCAGTCAGAGGATGAAAACCAGAAGTATTGGAACAACTGTTTTGAAATTTTGTTTGGAACATGCAGCTGTTTAGCACAACACAACTGATCCTTGTTTTGAAAACATTCTAAAGAAAGACAAAAATCTCCTTGGCTGGTAAACTATTAGCAATACAAGGACTGGCAAAAAACTAAAATCTTCTCACTCCACTTTTCAGTTTGGCTACAATCTAATTTTCTATTGATGCTGAATGAAATGCAGACAGCTACCCTGACTCACTTTCATGCTCCAGTCATCAGGGGACAGCCGACGTTACATTTAAGGAGTTCACCAACATAGGGAAATGCAGCTTTAGGTTCCCAGATAGGGTTTTGAAATGGTATTTGTTTTTATCAGTGTATGTTGAAGGAATACTGTAGAATAAGGGGAATATAACAAAACAATCCTTTAACATGCAAGAATGGAGATATACTACACTGGAAAGAGAAGGGACACTTCCCTTTTTGGAAGTTTATAGTAACACTCTCTGGTAAGGCTCTGATTCCCAGTTGGTCCGCTAAGCACTGCTGGGAAGTGAGGATCAGACGTGCAGGATAAAGCAGACAGTAGGAAGTATCCTAGTCTCTGTGACAACAGAGGAAAAGGAACAGAAAGCAGCAACACGAAATACAAAATGTTCTCTCTATTGTGTGTCCCTGCTTTAAAATTCTGTGACTACTGCAATTTTGTTTCAAAGCTCACTGGCACTGGGCTCTGGCCCAGCCAGGTGCTTTTCCTTCCAGGTGCCTTGTGGCTTTGTGTATAATGTGTATATTGCTTTAAGACATACCATGATTTTCATCCCTTCCTCCTGAAGGAAGAAAGTAGGATATATTTATTACAATGAAAAATTGTAATTCTAGCTTAAAACTGCAAGCTTTTGAAAGTAGTCTGTGCCTCCTCTAGAAAGAACAGCCAGCACAAAACACTTGCCATTTCTGGAACCTCATTAAGAAACTGGTTTCTTTACCTCGGGGTTCATGCCTACAGCTACTGATTCAGATGCACTTGAAATGCATTTCAGGCTGCTAGTAAAACATAGGGGATAAAAGGATTTGAAATAGTTTTCCAGGTTTCTCACATTTCCTCCACCTAGCTATCTTCAGGGCAAACATTCTTTATAACTGGAGAAAGAGCTATACAAAACATAAAATATTTAGTTGCACGTCAGCCTCAGATATTCCTAACAGTCAGCAGAAAATGCTGTAAGCTCACCTACACCTCATTGTCCTTACTGAGAAGTCAGTTCATATTTGGATTATCAGCTCAATTTTTAAATAGAATGTTTTTAAAAATCAAAGCCTGGAAATAGTTTGCTTTACTTTCCTTATTGTAAACACACCCTATAAGACTTGGGTGTACTTGTACACAAGCTGTACTGGGAGAGCATTCAGCTCAAAAGCCTATCTGAATTCACTCAGTGACACCAGTCAGTAGCCCAGTGGAACTGGGGATACCTTTTTTCTTGTCTACAATGCAATACAGAACCAAGACATCAACTCCTCTCTGCACTCCCAACACAGGCTTAAAATCATTGTAAAGTGAGTTAAGCATCTGAAACAAGGTTACTCTAAGAATGTATTTTCTATTTTAGCTTATCATATTAGAGAGAAGCTATCAACATCTTCACTCTAGAGCTGAGGCACCTGACATGCTGGATAGTGTATCACTCTTGTGATGTCAACAGGATGCAAACTGGAGTCAAACAGGGCTCATGTTTTGCCTAGGAGTAACGTGCTATCTGCAATGATCGTGCAAATATTTTCAAAAGCTTGTTGCAAATCTTGTGTTAGAAGTTTAAGTCTGAAGTCAATAAGAGTAAGCAATGCAGTTCCTGGGCTCTGAGGAGCAATGGCTTGAAGAACTCAGTTTCAAAAAGCAGCAACGTTTTTACGCTGAACACCTTTTGCATCTTTGCTTTGATCATTCACATAACCAATACATTTTCTGCTCTCTTACCACTGGAAAAATCAGGAAGCAAACGATGCTATATTTGCAATGGAAGTATTCTTACTAGATGCTTTTTCCTGGATAAAGGCAGGGGCTGCAGATGTGTGACTGAGTGTCAGGGTCTCTGCTGCTGTCCCTTCAGTGCCCGCGCCGGGTTGAAGCGCGGGGGGCAGGACAGGCCCGGCAGCCCCGCGCTCCCCCGGGAACGCGGCACTTTTAAACAGCATTTATTCACACAGTCACATTCTGCCATCGGAAGGAGGTATTTTTAAATCTAGCACTGACCTTCACACACCATTGGTGACAATCCCTTGCTTCAGAGAGGCCAAAGTAACGCTGGTTTAGACAAGTTGGCAGAAAAGGGCCCCGGCGCAGCACAGCCGGGGTGCCAGCCGGGGTGCCAGGCCGGCCCCGCTGCTCTCCGGCCCCGGGCTCCCCCCGCACCGATGCGCATCCGAACCCCGGGCAGCCCCAGCTCCGTCCCGCTAGGAAGGGCTCATCCCTCGCCCACCCGCGCCGCCAGCCTTACCCGCAGCTTGTCCCCGGCGCTCAGGCGCC